GGTGTCCAAGTCCCCCAAACGAGTCCGTCAATTCCAGCTAACACTTCTGTGAATCTTAGGTTATTAGGTTTAGTTGCCTAAAAAAAATGGTTTTAATAAGAAGTTTGAGTAGGATCTATTTTCTGAACTGCAGCTGGTCTAAAATTGTACCAGAAACAGTAAATTCTCTTATGCCTGCTGTAGGAACCTCAGGTAGGGTAATTTACTCAAGCACAAGGCTTTATAATTTGCGGGGATTTGAGAGCTAGCATAGCACCGATCTAGCTGTTAGATATCCACCTGTCAGCAAAACCCACTTAACCCCATGGCCCCCCCCTTTTCAAAAAGAAAAGGTATTTAACAGGTATGACCCAAGAAGAGATCTATTAACAGGCTTGGGGATAAGAATTTTTCCCTTTCCTTGCTTTGGAAGAATTTACAATCCAGAGGTTACCACTTCTACATAGGCTTGTATAGACAGGTTAGGGTCTTTGTTATTCTTTGGCAATGCCAAGGAGAACGAAAGCAGTAGACAGCTTTAGAGTGATAGTTTAACTCTAAGTTCTCCTTTCTAAGACAGCCCCAGGCACCACCTGATTTTGCAAGTCACGGGGATACCTAGCAGCTAGTTTTGCCTTATGTGGCTATACCACCCCATTTGTTATTTGACCAGCTTATAAATGAATACAACCTGGGCTAGATTTATCAGCATTTGGGATCTGAAAGATGAATTTTATAGCCAAAGATCACAATGTTGACTTGGGGGCAGCTTGCTGCCACTTCCCTGTAGTCAGGTCTCCTCTTAGAGGATCTTATTCTGATACAGACTGGAGGTAGAGGCAGCAGAACCTAAGATAGTAGAGGCTCTGGTAATTACTCCAGAGATGTTTTAGAAGGGATGGACTAAGTGTGACTTCATTGGGTTTGTTCAAAAGGTACAGAAAAGGCATGTAAAAAAAGGGACTAGAATTCCTGGAGTAGACTGGCTATGGAAAAGGCACACCCAATAGCAACATGGGCGCCCCCTCCTCCATGATGCCTAGGAGGGGTGCCAATCTACCGGGACAAACAGCACCCACCCTTGCTCACTGCTCTCTAGCACCTGCTTGGAGGGGCTCAGGACTGCTGAAACAAAAAAGCCCTTTTATCTTCTGAATTTGGACATGAGGACTGAAGCAAGTTAGCTTGACAGGGCCTTGGAGGAAAATTCAAAATGGACCCACTGCTCCTTTCTCTGCTCCTGCAAGCTTCCAACAGTGTAGGCCTTACATCTCATACGTTCCCAGTTTATGGAGACGGAAAAGCTAAATGGTCAGAAGAGGTAGATTCCTACAGGGCCACACATCCCACGCTTGCTTTTATTGCATGGCAAAGAACTATCCTGAAACCCCATTCCCACCCCCGCCAAGGGGCAGCTGAAAGACCAATACATACCTAAGGGTGGCCTATTAAAGGTTCGTCTGTGCTACCCAACTAAAGGAATCAACTAGTTTATGCCAAACGCTAGCCCAAGAATTTCAGAGAATTTGAAGAGTTGCCCCCAGATAGGACATTTTGAAACCAAATGCAAACTTAAGGGATGTTTTTGTTCAGAGCCTCCCAAGAATGAAAGTTACCTTCGGATTGGAGGGCCCTGTGCTAAATCCCTGCTCTCACAATGTCTGCAGAGGGAACAGGGAAAGAAACAAATTCAGTAGTCACAGCAATGACTGTAGCCAGTATGTATAAGAAATACAGTTTAAGAAGAGACTGGCCTTAAACTTTTCCTGGGGAGGCCAGGAAAACACCAAGTGGAATATTCTCAAGGCAGATGCCAGTCAGATCAGCACAACCACCTAGGGAACTAGCTATTTGTGAGCCAGGCAGGGTCTGGATGCTCCAGGACCTCGTAAGGCCCAAGGAAGACGCTGCCTCCATAATGAGACAGAAAAGTGGGTTGGGGGTTGGGAGCTGGGAGTTTTCAAGGTGACTCCGGCTGCAGTGAGGAGCTCTAAGTGGATACAGGGAAACTAGTCAGGAAGTGGCTAAGCTAGTCCAGGTGAGGTAAAGAAGTCTTACGCAGGGCATGCAAGATGGAGCAATGAAGATTCAAGAGTTGTAACGTTCAAAGTGATGGAATTTGGTGTAGGATTGAATGTAGAGAAGTCAGGGCAGGTGTGGGTCAGGTTTCTGATCAGCACACAGAGATAAAGGATATTAGTCCCTGTGGGAAGGGACACCCAGAGATGTTCACAGTGGAGGAGAAGGAAATGCCAAGTCAGGGTTAGTCGGGCTCCAGCTTGGTCTGAGTAGGTGCCTTTCTACTTTCCCGTGAAGATTCCCGGAGGCAACTGGTTATAGACATGAGCAGAGAAGTGGCTGGGCTGATCCATGTAACTGCAAGTCAATATGCAAGCATGAGGGTCCCCACTCTATGGTGGAGGGTTATGGGTGGGGACTATGGAAACAGGCCACAACTAAGCACACCTGATACCACTCAGGTGGTGCTGAATCCTAAACAGCTGAGAAACTAAGCGCACCCTACAGGGAGTAACCAGAGGAATAAACCCCCTGGTGTTCCCTTTCAGGGACCTCCCCCAACACACACACACACACACACTTGGCTGCCAAAAGTTCACGTTGCCTTCAGACCCCATTATAGCAGAACCTCTCTCCCCAATCCAAGTTTTCTAAAGCTCCAACAATAGTTTCCTAAGCTAAAAATAACCATAGAGCCCAGCATCCTACCAGGGCTTTGTAAATGTTTTATTTGATAGTCTCATTTCCAACTGACAAACTCCGACAATGCTTTTATGTACCCACAAAGGTTCCCAGCCTGCCAGAGCTTGAAACTGGTACTGAGTTTTCCTCACAAGTGTCTATGTAAATACACTACAAGTGAATGTAATCGTAGCACTTGCTCTCACACTTTGAGGTCTGATAATTAAATGTGCTTTCTCACATGGGGAACAGCCCCCACTCAGATCATTTGTGTTCAGGAACTTCAGCATTTTGTACAGATGAGTATACTTTTAAGGCCCTTTAGTTCTCAAAGCCACCTTCACAGCCTTTTATTGACGGGGAACAGGGGCACGTATTTGAATATCACAGTGCCAGGGTTATACTCTAGACATGAATCAGAAAGGGAGGGCCGGGAATGTATACAAGGGCTGAAGATGGCAACTTAAAATAAGAGGACACTCACTAAGGCAGACAATGTACTTTAAGAAGTGAGGGTACAATTAGAGTAGAGGGCCATAGAGTCTGAAGTAACCTAGAGACTTACAGAAGGCCCTAAATCCGCCATTTAAGTTTTCAATTCCATTTGTTTTTAATTTGACCATAGAGAGGGAAAGTGAGAAGAAAAAAAAGCTGTGAAGTCCAGGACTGAACCCATGGCCATACAGGCAGGGGTCCAGCTCCCCGACAGGTCATCCAGTTCAGCTGACTTGATGTTCAGTCCCTGCAGACTTTAACGTGAGGGAGTCAGATCTGATGTACTTTACAAAGCATCTCCCAGCTACTGTTTGTAGAGCAGGCTGCAGGTGAAGGTGGGGGAGAGTAAGAACATTAAGCCTAGACTAGATAATGAGGCCCAAAGACCGTAACTGGAGGCAGGTGAGAGGGCTGGGGCATCTTCCCACCAGACTAGAGGAAAAAAACCCAATCAGGACAGGACATTCCTCACTCGGGATAATATAACATAGATGGGAAGACTTCCAGTGGGGAATGTCTAGCAGATTAAACTATTTGATATAACTAGTGATATGTCAGCAGATCCAGTCATATTTGACATAACCAATGGGAAGAAAGCAATCGGTGAGCCCAGCCAATGATCAACTGACACCTTGGTTGAGGAATTATAACCTTTCTTTGGAAAGTAACTATGGCCCTTGAGCTTCTCCCGTGCTCAGCTTTTTCCTAACCCATCTGCAGTGTACTTTTGCAGGGCCCCATCAGCATCCTTTGCTGTTAACCTCTGGTTCAATTTGTCCCCAACACCAAGAACCTAGACTCACCAAAGCCACCCTGTAACAATAGGCAGCACGTGTAATAACCCACCCCAGGGTTATTGGTTCTGCAGGTAACCAAGGTGGCAAGTGATTGACCTGGGCCCGTTTTTTGAAATTCAACAGGATTTCCCAGGTTGGGCGGCCAAGACCACCACAAGGGGTTCAGAACTCGAAGTACCCACGGGTGCCTTCCATCCTCATTTGCACCTTCTTGCCCTACAACCCCTGGGAAGTCTAGGAACCTGCTTTAAAATAAGGCTGAATACCGACGCCTTGCAGCCATCCCTCTTCTCTATTGAGACGCTTCCTGATTCCTAGGGCGGGTTCCCATTTTTTGTGCTTTAAGAAATAAGCCTAGTTTTCTTAGACCCCACGTCCTCTTTAGCTTTCTAAGCATTGTTTTGAGCAGAGCTCGTGCAACCAAGGGTCCAGCGAGACCCAGCCCTCCAGTTCTTGCTACCCACAGCGCTTCTAAGTACTTCTTAGTTTTTTCATTAGTAAGTCCTACTTTTCTTAGGATCTACATCCCCTTTGCTTTCTTCAGCTTTCTACACGAACAATGAAGAACTCAGCGAGGCATAGTACTAAAATTCCTACTTTGAGGCCTACTTTCATTTTAGTCTCACTCAGTGGCAAAGAAAAAAAAGTTAAAAAGTACGCCGCTTGTGCTCGCTAAACGCGAACCGGCTCTTGACAGCCTCGGCAAACACCGGGCGCTGACGCGGCAGGAGGGCGGGAAGTTCGAGAACGCCGGCGCTAACCCAGCGGAGGGGAAGCCCAGCCGACCGTTCAAAACGAAGAAGGCACCCCTAGGTCATCCGCCCCCCAAAAGTAAGCAGTCTCGCCTTCAGGGCCACTAAAAGCTCAGCTAACAGCAGTCTAGAGCATCCGAACACAACTCCCCACGCTCGCAGATAACAAGCAGGCGCCCGGTAGTCCGCGCCGTCTTTTCAAGGACCTGCGAGCGTGGCGTCACTTCCGGGGCGGGGCTCGGGGGCGGAGCCCGGGCCGGGGGAAGAACGCGCAGGGCAGGCGCGAGCCGGCCTCTGAGCCCCGGCCTCGGACCGCCCCTCCGCGCCCGGCACGCCCGGCGCCGCCTTCCGCCCCGGTCCCCCGGCTCGGCCTTGGCAAGGTCTGATTTGCAGTGCGGACTGGCCTCAGAGGCTCTCAGCGAGTGCGGCGCCGTAACAAGTGGGCGAGGATGCCGTACGAGATCAGTAAGTGTCGCGGCTCGGGGTCAGCGGGGCGGGCGCCGTGCTGCCCGGCCCCTAGGCCCTCTGCGCCGGCCGGGGCCCCTGCGCGGGGGAGAGGTGCAGGCGCAAGCTGGCGGCGCGGCGCCCCCGGCCTCGGGGTGCGGGGCGGCGATGCTCCGCTGGGGATCGCCCTGGAGTTGGCTCTGCGAGCCCGGCCGGCGGAGCCCCGGTGCCCCCGAAGGGCCTGGCTCGGAGCGCGGACCAGGAAGTGGCGCTGTCTCCGGTGCTCCTTGAAAGTGGCTGGCGCCCCCCCCGGGGG